AATAGGTTTAACTAAGTTATCATAAAGTTTCATGGTAAGACAGGGATCAAAATGAAAGAAATTGCCCAAGTCTTTTTTTAATTTAAATAGGGCTTTAAGAGCAGACTTTTTGAGCTCCTGTTTTGCAATAGTAAAGTTTCCAAAAGCGCTAAACGTAAGGCCGAGGTATTTGTAAAGTTTGACGTTTTCTAGGATTTTGTCTTGATAATTAAATGCATAATTACTCAACTGTTTCCCTGAATTGTTAAAGATAACAATTTTTATTTTCTCAATATTTACTGTAAGACCATTTGCATTTGAGTAAACCTCAAGCTTATTCAATAGGCACTGGAGATCTGAGTAATTTTTGCTTACTAAGACTAAATCATCAGCATAGAGCAGGCAATTCACATTTGAATTTGAATTCACAAATCGGGACTGGACAGCTTTCGAAAAGCGCCAGATGAATTAGACAAATGTTTTGTATAGGACTCTTGGCTACTTCTTGTCATCCTTGGTAGTTCTTTGCTATGACTTTGAGTTCAATGTCCATGTCAAGGTTGGGCCACCATAACCATACGTATCCTCGCGCAATTCATCTTGACCATTTCGAAGTGTCCTTCGTGGATTGTATGAGGGACTTTTCCTCTTAGTTTTGGGGGGCACTATGACTCTGGTTCMTCACATAGGGATCTCGCCGTAATTTCATCTCTTCTTTGCTGGTAAGTTTTAACTTCTGGATCATCATCATTCATACTTCATCCCAATTGAGCTAATTTTAGGACTCGTGAAAATACTGGATCCCTTTGCTTTCTCTTTCACCGGTAAGGCATCCACTACTATAGCACTGCTAATAGACTTCTGAACCTTTTACGTCACTACTTGATTTCCAATGCATTGTGGGATCAGTTTCAAGAGAAAACAAAAGAAATCCGCCATGTTTTGTCCCAAACATGTCCTACAATGCATTGCGTATACGGTACATGACGTAAAAGCTGCAGAGGTCTATATTTGCAAGTGGATATCCGGAATTGCTTCAGTATATGAATAATATAAAAATTAGGTAACACCTAATAGCGGAGCTCCAATAGCAATATAGAAGCTGACAATGATTATCTAGTACTGCTATTTCAAAGGTAGATGCTCTGTTCTAAGGAATGTGAGCTACAACAGTTTTGTTGATATGCGAACAAATATTATAAAGAGTGTGTTTATGAGAATTTAGTTCGTACTAAATTATATTGACTTCGGTAGATTTTGTTCCGTTGGATGAAGTTTAAAATTATAATTAAAAGTAAACTGAAAGCTTCTCGGCAAAAAGTAGTCTACATAAGCATACAATAATCAACATTGTTTCAATAATCGATACGATGTTTGAACCCGGACTACTCGAACTTCACATATCACAGAAAACTGTATACAAAAATATATTTTTTACCTTCATTATCGAACTTCCGATAAATTATCGTTCAAAGGTGATCTTCAACAGAGCCATACTTGTTTCAANGTTCGATGTCCATGTCAAGGTTGGGCCACCATAACCATACGTATCCTCGCGCAATTCATCTTGACCATTTCGAAGTGACCTTCGTGGATTGTATGGGGGACTTTTCCTCTTAGTTTTGGGGGGCACTATGACTCTGGTTCATCACATAGGGATCTCGCCGTAATTTCATCTCTTCTTTGCTGGTAAGTTTTAACTTCTGGATCATCATCATTCATACTTCATCCCAATTGAGCTAATCATTAGGACTCGTGAAAATACTGGATCCCTTTGCTTTCTCTTTCACCGGTGAGGATCCACTACTATAGCACTGCTAATATTTGCAAGTGGATATCCGGAATTGCTTCAGTATATGAATATTAAAGATTGTGCAGCATTTGAACTTTTTACAGTATGTCTAACCATACCTATTAATTCTATTCTTTTACTTTTAAATCATGTTTTATTTTTTTATATTTTTAATTAATTCCATAGCTGTTAAGATTTCTCATGGGAAATTGCTCACAATAGTCTAATGACTAACTATACTTCTTAATTACAAGCATTTGCACTCGCTTTATTTTTAAATTCTAAGAAATACCTTGTCGAATAAAACTGTACGTACTATTTAATAGGCGTGTCTCCGTCCAATACTACTTCAGCATATAAATATCTATAAATTGTACAGCATTTAAAATCCTTCCCCAAATGAAATACSTCGTTACGTTTTATGTCTATATTAGGTAAGATATATTCCATAGYTATAATACTGTAAGTACTATACTAAGGGCGTGACTTTTAACTGCAAACTCTTTCACATACTGTCACTAATCACACTTATAATTTTTCTTTACATTCGTTTTAATTTACAATCGAATGCCATTTTGGATTTTTTAAAGAAACTTTAATTCCATGGCTGTAAAACTGTAAGAATTGATTTTTGGGTGTGCCTCCACTTCAAATTTTACTCAGGGCACAACACTCTATCATTGAGCCAAATTTCAAAGATGTTCCAATAATTTGCACAATTCGGCATAAAATCTGCACCATTTTCTTGGACTACAAAGAGCATCATGCACAAGACAAACTCCATTTGACCATATTTCCATTTTAATCTGTCACGACATCTTGTTCCCTGTGAACTTATTATATTTCGTTTTGATTCTAAGTTCAAATCTTTTTCGATCCATCGGTATCTTATTGCTAGTCATCTTATCTTTTCTTGTCGGTATCTTATCTCGAAGAACATCATGCACAAGACAAACTCCATTTGACATTTGACCTTATTTCCATTGAAATCTGTGACGACATCTTGCTCTGTGTGAACTTATTATATTTCTCGGTGACTTGTAATCCGTCCAGGAGTCGATGTTTATTTCATACTTCACAGTTTATCGGCGCACTGTGATATTAGTGGTTTTCAAATGGATGCTCCTGAGTCTTTTCAGTGGAAAGGAACTGAAGAACATTTCATAAAATCTCACAATCTATTTCGTCAAAAATCAGGAGAAGTTACTGAGATCATCAAATCACTGCGCTCCCATCTTCCATCGACGTTAAAATACATCCTTGATGAGCCAAATCCCCACGATGGTATCAACATTTTAAGTATTGGTAGTGGAGAGGGAGACATGGATATAGAAATACTGAAGATTGTCAATGAAGAGATGCAAAGACATCGTCCAGGTCATGCAGTAAAAATGTTCAACCGAGCTGTAGAACCACAAGTGCACGCCTTGCACCAGTACAAGAATACAGTAGCCACACGCCTACCAAAGGAATTAAGCAATGCATCAGTAGTGTTCGATATCGACCGGCCTAAAACATTTGAAGAGTACGTGGCAAATATCAAAGAGACTGTGGAGTTTGATATCATTCATTTTATTCACTCCATTTATGGTATCACTGAT